CGTATAATTGAGGGGTAAATTAAAATCCAATTGGATCTCATGCATCATGTGCATCCACGCATTTAAGAGTCTAGTGTATCAATAAATTAAGAATTATAGAAGAAAAATCTAAAAAAGAAAAGAAAGAAAATGAGATCAGTCAGAAAATTGAAAAGGGTTATTAGAGTGATTAAGTTCCAAAAAAGTAAAAAGGGGCAATCAGTAATCAGTAAAAAGAGATTAATCAGAGTCAAGGTGATGGTAATCAGTCAATCAGTAAATCAGTAGAAAGAGATTAATCAAAGTCAAGGTGATGGTAATCAGTAAATCAATAATTAAGTAAAAAGAGGTAAATCAGAGTCAAAGTAGCAGCAATCAGTAAATCAGTAATTAAATAAAAAGAGATTAATCAGAGTTAAGGTAATAGTAATCAGTAAATCAGTAATTAAGTAAAAAGATAGTAATCAGTAAATTGATAATTAAGAGTCAAGGTAAGAGATTAATCAGTAATTAAGAGTCAAGGTAAAAATAGTAATCAGTAAATCAGTAATTAAAAGTCAATGGATTGATCGGTAAATTGATACTTAAGGGAGAAAGTAAAATTAGTGATCAGTAAAGAGAAAAATGGTGAAATGGTAATTAAATTCAAGAGAGTAATCAGTAAAGGAAAAATGGTAAAGAGTAAAGAATAATCAGTAAGGAGTAATTAGTAAAGAGTAAAATGATAAAAAAGTAAAGAGTAATCAGTAAAGGAAGAATGGTAAAGAGAAAAGGGTAATCAGTAAAAAGTAAAAAGATAATCAGTAAAGAATGAAATAGTAAAAGGTAATCCATAAAAAAGTAATGATAATCAGTAAAAGGTAAAATAGTAATCAGTAAGAGCAAAATGGTAATCAATGAGAGTAAAATAGTAATCAGCAAAAGGCAAATAGTAATCAGTAGAAGGTAATCAGTAAAAGAGTAAAATGGTAATCAGTAAAAAGTAAGAAGGTAATCAACAAGAGTAAAATAGTAATCAGTACAAAGTAAAGAATAATCAGTAAAATAATGATGGTAATCAGTAATTCAGTAAAAGATGAGTAAAAAGAAAAGTAAAGTATGAAAAAGGTAAGGAATGATAGTCAAACAAGGAAAATGAATAAAAGAAGAAAAGTCGGTTTTAAGAAAGAATAAAAAGAAAAAAAGAAAAGAGAGAGAGTTTAAAGGCATGAAAATATAGTAGCGACCGATAATAGAAACCCATAATTAAATCTAAACTAGTCAGTGCGGTCTTTTGACGGGCGTCGTGGGGGTGCTAATCCTTCCCCACGCGTACCCGACTCCCGAACCCTTAGGACTCTGGTTAGAAGACCGTTTATTAGGTTTAGTGTTACCTTCGCCAAGCTTAGGTAAACATTAGACTTAATAATCTCATAGGTGGCTAATCACACCTAGGTTAAAAAAGATTAGTGGCGACTCCCTTAGGTTTTTAGTATCTTTTAAGTCGTTAAACGGTAGGGTTCGTACCCCGGACCCGAACGTTGCGACACCAAGAGGAGATTTTGCCTCTTTGTTTTGTAAGTTATTTTCATCTTAAGCCTCTCATGGATTTGAAAAAATCCATGAATAGCTAAATTCTTAATACTTCCTTTTTCCTTTGGTGATTTCAATCTTTAATTTATCGGGAGATCTTTGTTTTTCATAATTTGATTTGTTTATCTTGTTTGAGTAATTTATCAATCTCTATGCTTTATTTTATGATTTTAATTGTTATTGAATTAATTGATCACTAATTCTTTAATTGTTTGGATCTATTGCTATATTAAACTTGGTGAAAAGCTACGTTCCTAGGTTTAATAATTGGTACTTTGGGATTGATATTTCAATTAGATCTAATGAAAAACTATGTTCTTAGAGATAATTGTTTGGTGACAAAGGCAAGTTTGCTTAGGCTTTTTATTCGTCTTTGTATTTTGCTGAAATTGTGAATAGATCTTAATGTTTTATTTTTTATAGATCTTAAGTCAAAGTGGTAAAGGTTTATTTAGATTAAAAGGGATTAATTGCGAAAAGTTATGTTCCAATTAATCTAATATGTAATGCAGAGAATTGGGAAAAGTTATGTTCTCTTTTCTGCTAGCCAATTATTCAATTAGAAATAGTCAAATTCATATTTTGTGTCAATGATCCAAATTTTTATTGATTGATTTCAACCATTGGAAAGGAAGTATGCTTTTTAATTTGATAGTTTTCTTTAGTATTTTATTTAGTTTAATTTACTTGCTTTATTTTTAGATTAATTGTTTTCTTTATAATTGGTATTTTTAATCTCCTTTCTTTTAAATGTTTTTGAGTGATCTTAGACAAGTTTTGTCTTTGATGTCTGTTTCATCCTTCTCTGTGGGATTCGATCCCTACTTGCCCTAACTATTTAGTAAGGATTTGTGGGGATTTATCTTGTGATTTGCTGACGACCGATCACACTCCCTCTCTTCTTTTTTTTAGTTGTCCAATTTAATCAATTTACTTGTTTAAGAAAAGTAGTTATTTTGTTAAATTTTACACAAGTTTTACTTCATTTTACCAAATTACTCTACATTTGATTGGTGTAGGTAACTCTTGTCAGCTAATATATTTAATGAGTTTTATGGTTTTAAAGCAAGGTAAATATGTCATTTTAATAGATCGGGACAATTAAAAAAGGAAGAAGGGCCTGGGTTTGAACCCAGGGAGTATTTACTTATTGATGTGTATATTACATGACCTCATGATGAACTTCTTGATTTTCGCCATTGCATATAACAATTAAAACAAAGGGAGAACTGATATGATCCAATAAATTTAACTGAAAATTTCCTTTTTACAACATAAGATTTAATTGTTCTTGTCAAACTATACTGACAATGAAATTTGCACACTGCTTTTAGATAAATAAATATACAACTTATCGAATAAATAAATATTTTTGTCATCCAATACACTTAACTGAAATTTTAGCATTTCGTAATATAAGAGGATATAAAAATGTTTGAACGTACATCCTAAGATTCAACTATACCTTGTCCACTAGATGGAAATCCTCTCCCCCAATTTTCTGCCCCCCCTTGTCCTCCATCCACCAAATCATGACACGTGTCCCTTGTATTATAGCTTGTTTGTTTCAAGTTTTATCAAATAACATTAATAAAAGAAAATAAAATGAAAATCCCACTTAATCACCAGGTTTAGCCCCAAATTAAAAATAAATAATCGAATATAAGGGTTAGTCCTAAATTTTAATACATTCCCCATAAGGTTTTAGAATGAAGATATAAATTTTAATTTAACTAGGTAAACAAGGAATAACATTAGAAATTTAAAAGGGACACGTGTCATTATTTGGTGGATGGGGACAATGGGGGATAGAAAATGGGGGGAGAGAATTTTTATCCTTGTCCACTAGCATAGCCCGTTTGTTTTAGTACATGTCAGATTCACGTCACCAGAAATGTTATAGTATTAATAATAACAAGTTATATTAGCCCGCGCTGGCGCTACGGCCGTTCTTTATTTTAGAGTGGTGCTTGATTAACTGATTGAATAAGGATATTAATATAATCAATTACATAAGGGCCAAGAACATTTTTTTGTTTTAGAGTTTTGCTTGATTGATTAATTGATTGAATTATATAAGGTTGCAGTAAAAATGCAATTTAAATGGATTAGTTTTAATTATGTCTCTGGCATAAATCTTTGTAAGTTAACTTTTTAGACATGCAAAATTAAGAAGGCCAAGAACATGTTTTTATTTGTAAGTAATAGGAAGTGCAAAGAGGTAATAAAATATGTTGTTAATTGGATAATTAAATAATTATATTTATAAATGATAAAGTTGAATAATTTATATGTATGTCTTAATTAAAACTTGCAAAATTTTATTAATATTTAATTTTTTATTTAAACTTATTTGATTTAATTTGTTATTGGATTATATAAATTTTAATGCTTAAATTTTATTTTTCATTAAAAATTTTAATTATGATTTACAAATAAAAAATAAATATGGGCGGGCTTGTGCAAGCCTTGAACATGTGTTTAAAAATATGGACAGTCATTGACAAAAGTTGAGGCCTGTTCTTCGGGCCGGGCTGGGCTTGGACAAGAATAAAGTTTACAAATACTAAGCAAAAGCCCGGCCCATGAACACCTCTACTTCTACCCATATATGGGCCATTTTATAGTCTAGTTGTGATCTAAGGCTCCCTTTGTTTGGGCAATTGGGTGCTTATAAGCAGCTTATTTAGCTTTTGCTTACTTAGGTGCAAGCAGTTTTTTTGATCGGTTGGCTGACGTGTCAATAGAAAATTATGGAAAAGCTGCTTTTTTTCACTAGAGGCTTCCCCCTGCTGTAGCTTTAAAAAGCTTCTGGTTATAAGCTAAGCTGAAACAAAGAGAGCCTAAGTATCTCCTGATGCGGATGAGCTAGACATATCATTTATGGATCGTATGGACCGTCAGAAGTCCGTTCGAAAGGGCGTGTAACGTTTTGGATTTTGGGCCTGAAGGTCCTACTAGTGGGTCAACTTAAATAGGGCATAACTTTCAAACCGTAAGTCGGTTTGACTATTATAATACCTTTTCGGAAAGGGTTTCGAGTCTACTACTAGAGCGGTTCAAAGTTTCATTTAGGGCCTAAAAAGCCCGTTACAGTTTTCTGTCGCGAGTTTTAGTTTTTATCGCTTTTGTTATTTTGGCCCGTTTGGACTGTTTTTGGGCTTTCTTTATTTTTATTTAATTTTCATTATTTCCTGAGAGTATTTAAAGGTTGTAAACCCTAAATTTGAGGTTAATCAATCATTCGAATAATTTTATCAAATTTATCTTCTCTGAGTTTTCTCTGAGTTTATTGTGTGTTTCTGGATTGAACACGTTCCACTGCGTCAGATTGGCATCAGAGCAAGGATGACATCTGGTAGTGGTAGTGAAGCTGGTCTTCCCAAACCAGTGGATGATGCGCTGCGAGCATTGGAGCAGCGTTGGGATCAACGTTTTCATGAACAAGACGTTAGACAGCGGCGTTTTGAGACTCTTTTGGAAACGATTTTGGAGCGTTTGGATACCTTGGGTATCGACGCCAATAATAGGTGAAACAATAGAGAGCCAAGGGTAGAAGCAGCTCTTGGTGAACCTGTTAATCGTCAAAGGCAGAGGGTTGAAGATCGCGTAGCAGTTAATCGCGCAGAAAATCGCGCAGTAGCAGTAGTTGATGATGATTCAGAAGAGGAAGAACTGAAACTAAATCAGGTCGTCAGATATCAACCTCAATAGAATCATGGCAGAAGGTATGATTATGATAGGGAAAATAGCGATTTTCGCTTGAAAGTAGATATTCCTAATTTTAATGGGTGTTTGGGAATCGAAGAATTTATGGATTGGATTGCGGAAGTAGACAGATTCTTTAATTATCTTGATACTCCAGCAGAGAAAAGAGTGAAGCTTGTGGCGTGTCGCCTGAAAGGTGGAGCATCTGCTTGGTGGGATCGATTGCAGTCTCGTAGGGTACGAAAAGGGAAAAATCTTGTTCGTACTTGGTATAGGATGAAATTCCTATTACAGCAAGAATTCCTTCCTCCAGATTATGAGCAGATTTTATTCCAGGCATATCAAAACTTGAAGCAGGGTGCTAAGTCTGTTCATGAGTACACTGCAGATTTCATGAGGTTGTGTTAATGGAATAATTTGCTTGAAATCGGAAGGGCAGCAGGTTTCCAGATTTTTAGAGGGTTTGAGGCCAGCTATCAGAGGTAGAATTGGAGTGCAGGTGGTTCGAACTCTATCTGAGGTGAAGAATTTGGTATTAAAAGCAGAGCTTATGCAGCAAGAACGCAGTAGGCGGAATTATGACAATTATCGAGATGATGGATCTGATGATAAGGATAAAAAGGAGCTTACTGATCGGAAGTTCAATAATAATAACAGGCAGAATTATAGAGAGGAGAAGGCTGTGGGAAAACGTGTTGTCGCTGAAGGAGGAGATAATAAGAAAGGGGACAATAACCCTTACGCCAAGTTTCATGGTGTAACCTGTTACAGGTGTAACCAACAAGGGCATCGATCTAATGAGTGCCCATAGAGGAAGACAATAGCCGTCGTTGACAAGGAAGCTGATGATGATTATACACCTTGTGATGCAGATGAGGACGATGAGGAAGATGATTATGATGAGGATGATAAGCAAATCTATGTAGTTCGGAGAATGATGTTGACTCCGAAGAGTGAAACTCAGACACAACGCCATCAACTGTTTAAGACTCGGTGTACTATCAATGGTAAGGTGTTTCGTTTAATTATTGATAGTGGAAGTTATGAGAATATCATTAGTAAAGAAGCAGTGCGGAAGCTGAATTTACCTGTTGAGAAACATCCCACACCTTATTCTTTGTGGTGGATTAAATCAGAATCTAGGCAATTGGATGTGACTAAGTGCTGTAAAGTTCCTTTCTCTATAGGGAAGTATAAGGATGAAGTTTACTGCGATGTGGTTGATATGGATGTTTGCCAATTCTTGCTTGGAAGACCTTGGCAGTATGATCTTGATGTTTTGCATTCAGGCAAGAGTAACCAATATCGGTTCGAAAAAAATGGTGAAAAATTTCTCTTGTTGCCTATGCAGAAGAGTGATAAATCAAAGGAGCAGAAAACCTTCCTATCTGTGGCTAAGGATTTCGGTTCAGAGATGAAGGAATCTAATGAACTGTATGCCTTGGTGGTGAAGCAGCAAGTTGAGTTGCAAGTGGAGGAGCACCCAGATTTGGTGCAACCATTATTGTTGGAATTCAAGGATATTATGCCAGATGATATTCCTGATGGGTTACCTCCTATGCGAGATATTCAGCATCATATTAATCTTATCCCTGGGGCGAGGTTGCCAAATATGCCTCATTACAGAATGAACCCAAAGGAGAGCGAGATCCTGAAGGAGAAAGTAGAGGAATTGCTGAAAAAGGGTCTGATTCGTGAGAGCATGAGTCCTTGTGCTGTACCTGCATTGTTGACGCCCAAGAAAGATGGAAGTTGGAGAATGTGTGTAGACAGCAGCGCTATCAATCGGATTACAGTAGGTTATAAATTCCCAATACCTAGGCCGGATGATATGTTGGATAGGCTTACTGGTTCTGCTTGGTTTTCAAAGTTTGATTTGAAGAATGGGTATCACCAGATTCGAATTAGGCCAGGTGATGAGTGGAAAACAGCATTTAAGACGAAAGAGGGGTTGTTTGAGTGGCTGGTCATGTCGTTTGGGTTATCCAATGCACCTAGCACCTTCATGAGGCTGATGAATCAGGTACTGAAACCTTTTCCTGGCCAGTTTGTTGTGGTGTATTTTGATGACATATTGATTTATAGTAATTCTGAGGAAGAACATTTGGCGCACTTAAGGCAAGTGTTAGAGGTTTTGCAGCAGAATAAGTTGTATGTCAACCTGAAGAAGTGTAACTTCTTAACGCGTCAACTATTATTTTTGGGATTTGTGGTTTCTGCTGATGGTGTGCAGGTTGATGAATCTAAGATTCTGGCAATTAAGGATTGGCCTGAACCGAAAAATGTGTCTGAGCTGCGAAGTTTTCATGGTTTGGCCACCTTCTATAGGAGGTTCATTCGAAATTTTAGTACTATTACAACCCCAATGATTGAGTGTCTGAAGAAAGGCAAGTTTGAATAGGGTAAAGATGCTGCAAACAGTTTTGTCACTTTGAAAGAAAAATTGTATACTGCTCCAGTTCTTGCACTTCCTGATTTTGATAAGGTTTTTAAAGTGGATTGTGATGCTAGTGGGGTTGGCATAGGTGCTGTTTTGTCGCAAGAGAAAAGGCCAGTAGCGTTTTTCAGTGAGAAGTTGAGTGATTCTACAAGGAAATGGAGTACTTATGATAAAGAATTTTATTATGTTGTAAGGGCTCTGAAAACGTGGGAACACTATCTGGTTGGAAAGGAGTTTGTGCTTTACTCTGATCATGAGGCTTTGAAGTATCTGAATAGTAAGAAGCGGATTAGTAGCGATATGCATGCCAGGTGGTGCCAGTATCTGCAGAAATTTCCATTCAGATTGCAGCATAAATCTGGAGTTCAGAACAAAGTGGCTGATTCTTTGAGTAGGAGAGTAACTTTGCTAACTACCTTGAGTAGTTCTATTTTAGGTTTTGAGCAGTTGAAAGGGGAATACGAAGATGATGAAGATTTTTCTGAGATTTGGAGCAAGGTTTCGAACAAGCAACCTTCAGGTAATTTCTATTTACTTGATGATTATTTGATGCATGAAAATCAACTTTGTATACCTCAAACTTCTTTGCAATAACAAATTATTCGTGATTTGCATGCTGGTGGTTTAGCTGGTCATGTGGGTCGTGATAAGACTTTAGAGGTTGTGAAAGAGAGGTTTTATTGGTCTCATCTTAGAAGAGATGTTTGCAAATTTGTTGAGAAGTGTTATACTTGTCAGACATCGAAGGGTCAGTCTAAGAATACTGGTTTGTATATGCCGCTGCCAGTGCCAGAAAATATTTGGGAGGATCTGTCCATGGATTTTGTGTTGGGACTTCCTCGAACTCAGAGAGGAGTTGGTTCTATTTTTGTAGTTGTTGACAGGTTTTTGAAAATGGCACATTTTATTCCTTGTAAGAAAACTTCAGATGCAGTTGCGATAGCAAGATTGTTCTTCAAGGAGGTAGTTCCTTTACATGGGGTGCCTAAGACCATTACTTCTGATAGGGACAATAAGTTTCTTAGTCATTTTTGGCGTACTTTGTGGAAGATATTTGATTCATCTTTGAATTTCAGTAGTACAGCCCATCCCCAGACAGATGGTCAGACTGAAGCTGTTAAGAGGACTTTGGGTAACTTGGTTCGCTGTCTTTATGGTGAGAAGCCGAAACAGTGGGATATTGCTCTTCCACAAGCTGAGTTTGCCTACAACAATGCGGTTCATAGTGCTACTGATAGAACCCCATTTTCTATTATGTATATTAAGGCACCATCACAAACGCTGGACATGGTGAAGCTGCCAAAGGGTAATGGATTGAATGTGTCTGCAAAGCATCTGGCTGAACAGGTTGTTGAGGTGCAGCAAGCAGTCAAGCAGAAACTTGAAGCTGCAAACCAGAAGTATAAACAGGCTAATGACAAATATAGACGCCATGAGACCTTTGAAGTGGGTGATCAGGTTAGGGTGTTTTTGCGCAAGGAGCGGTTACCAGTGGGCACCTACAGTAAGCTTAAACCGAAGAAGTATGGTCCTTATACTATCCTTCAGAAGATTAATGATAATGCTTATATTGTTGATCTTCCTGATAACATGGGCATCTCCAAAACCTTTAATGTGTCGGATTTGTCTAAGTTTCATGATTCTTCTGTGCCTTTATATCCAAACTCGAGGACGAGTTTTTCTCAAGTGGAGGAGACTGATGCGGATGAGCTAGGCATATCATTTATGGATCTATGGACCATCAGAAGTCCGTTCGAAAGGGCGTGTAACGTTTTGGATTTTTGGCTTGAAGCTCCTGTTGGTGGGTTAACTTAAACAGGGCATAACATTCAAACTGTAAGTCGGTTTGACTATTATAATACCTTTTCGGAAAGGGTTTCGAGTCTACTACTAAAGCGGTTCAACGTTTCGTTTAGGGCCTAAAAAGCCCATTACAGTTTTCTGTCTCGAGTTTTAGTTTTTATCGCTTTTGTTATTTTGACCCGTTTGGACTGTTTTTGGGCTTTCTTTATTTTTATTTAATTTTCGTTATTTCCTGAGACTATTTAAAGGTTGTAAACCCTAAATTTGAGGTTAATCAATCATTCGAATAATTTTATCAAATTTATCTTCTCTGAGTTTTCTCTGAATTTATTGTGTGTTTCTGGATTGAACACGTTCCGGTGTGTCATCTCCATTAATAACTTTGAGTTCGTCTTGAAAATTTTATTTCTCGAAGCCCGAACTTAAGTGTGAAGCCCAATTCAAAGTTGGTATAATACTACTTTCTCCATATCCCAGTACCTCAATTCTTTTTTGTGGAGAAAATCTAAGATAATGAAAAAGTTAGATAGGACAATATCATGAACGGAACATTGCTAATTGAGATCGGTTTAAGTTGGTGAGGCATTGGATTTATGTTTGAAAAGTTTGGAATTCTAATTTTGTCAGTGGTACATACTGCATAATTGCTGAATGATTTATAGGTATCATTATATGTCTATCCTAAAACCTTTAACATGCCCTAACTCAGAATTAGGCTAGAGTCCTCACCTAAACTTTTTCAGACCAAAAAAAGATAAAAAAGGAAATGAACACTATTACCAAGTTTTTGAAAACATTTGATTTTAAATTGGATACATGATATATATATTGGGGTCTCCAGCTATGCTCTTTGCAAGGTACCTATAACTCTTGACCAATGGGCAATCAATCAGGGAGGGAAGTATATAAACATGCATGGGAATGTGAACAAGATTGTTTTGTACCATCTCTCATCAAAAAAGATTTGATGTTACATTTCTTGTGAAATCGATCGGTTCTCTCTTTTCAGACATAGAACAGCACAAACTGAAAAGAGGGAACCGATCGATTTCACAAAAAAATGTAAAAGAGAAAAAGAAAAAGAAAAATAAGTTAAGCAAACTCAAAATACTAAAGCAAAGCAACAATCAAGAATGACAAAGACAAATATGCCAAGTAAGGTGATGGGTATCCCAGGCGGATATATGGAAGCAGGTAGAGGCATAAACATGTTAAATTAATATTAACAGAAGGCAAAACTTGTCTCTTTATACGGATCTCTCCTTTGGCACCCTTCACTTTGTCGTTTTTAATTTGTCTGCAACTCTTTTGGGTCGCCATTAATTACCATCAAAACATAAACGGCAAACAGCTTTTGAAGATCCACTCCACTAAAATTGCAACTCCAATTGATGTTTGATTTTTGATCTTTTGACTTCAAATTAGTGATATATCCCAAAACAAGACTCTGGTTAAAAATGCAGAGAAATTGCTATTAATGCTTAAGTTTCTAAAGAAACAATAACTTCGTCAGATACAGGAGAAACAGACCCCAACTTATAAAAAATGTCTTTCTTTTATTGATTGATTGATGATCTTCACAAAATAAGTATAATTTGATATATGAAGATGTTGCTATCATAGAATTCTAATTCCAATTTAATTTTCAAATATGCATGGACCATGGTCTTCGATTGTGGTTGGTAAAGATTTTCTTCTTCTTTTTGTCTGGTAGCCAAGTCTCCCACCTTATCTCTAATCATATATATTATCAACTGCCTCTTGACGTTAATCAGCATTATCAAGTTGAAGGCCTACTGCTAAGTAAACATGTCAAACTTCATTCAAGATTTTGAAGACGATGAGCAATTTCAAAGCACTGTCATCTCACAGTCATCCAACCAGAGTCCTAATCCTGTGGAACATGGTGGCGATGGTTCAACTCCTACCAATACAATCTCTAAGAAGAAAAGAAATCTTCCAGGAAATCCAGGCAAGCACAACTTTTTCAACATTCTATAGTGGCAAAATCAATCTAGATTATAGTAATCTGTCATTTGGATTAAGGAAACTAATTAAAAGGATTAGTTGGTTGGCACCCTTTAATCTTATCTGCCTAATGCCATAGATATACAAAAAAGTTGCAACAATGATTTATGTTTAAAATTGATGCATGAAGGTAGTTGATTTATGTCAAGTCACCAAGTTTTTGTGTTTGGGAATTTTTTTTATTATTTTTTTTATAGATCCAGATGCAGAGGTTGTTGCCTTATCTCCAAGGACTCTTATGGCAACCAACAGATACATATGTGAAGTCTGCCATAAAGGATTTCAAAGGGATCAGAACCTTCAGCTGCATAGGAGGGGACATAACTTGCCTTGGAAACTGAAGCAAAGAACAACTACACAGGTTAAGAAAAGGGTTTATGTCTGTCCTGAGCCTAATTGTGTGCATCATGATCCGAGCCGGGCTCTAGGTGACCTCACTGGGATTAAGAAGCACTTCTGCAGGAAACATGGAGAGAAGAAATGGAAGTGTGATAAGTGCTCGAAACGATATGCTGTTCAATCAGACTGGAAGGCACATACAAAGATCTGTGGCACCCGAGAATATCGTTGTGATTGTGGCACCATTTTTTCAAGGTAGACCTTTTTTTAGAAGTGCATATTGAAGAGTAATGTAACATGTTATGAACTGCATACTTTATATGTAACATGTTATGAACTCTTAAGTGATTGAACATGTAATAAATTATCCATTTGTCTTTGCACAGGAAGGACAGCTTTGTCACACACAGGGCTTTTTGTGATGCATTAACAGAGGAAAATTACAGGGTGAACCATAACCTAGGTGCCAGTGGAGGAATTTTACAGAGCCAGGCACAGGAGCTGTTCACTTGTGATACAGGCTCCAATGCAAATACGATGATGAATCTGTCGATTTCTAATGAGAATATGGACAATTCACCAAGGCCATTGTCTCTGACCTCGGCTGGAGTAATGATATCTAGCAATTTAGACTCAATTTTCAATCCAAGAACATCTCCTCTGGCAATGGGATCTGCTTATACTTCTGCTACAGCCTTGTTACAGAAAGCTGCAGAAATGGGTGCTAAGATCAGTGATAATACCATTGCTCCAATCCTCCTTAGGGGTTTTACCGGATATTCAACCAGCGGCCTGAACTCATCCGGGGCTGTCCAGGAAGGTTCTTCCATGGTAGGTAGTAACATGGCAACTCATGCAACAAGCACCAATAATTTTTACGTTGGGGAGGAAACATATGAAAAGAACTTGGAGCCAGGGGATCCAAGATCTCTCAACACCGTTCCTCCTGCATTGTTCGATTCTCATTTTCTACACTCGGAGGAGAACGGTAACACTGCAAATCTGTTGGGAGAAGTGTATATGGGAGGAAGTGAAAAGATGACAGTTGATTTTTTGGGAGTGGAACCAACAGGGCATCAGAGTATCAGCAAGAAAAGAAGCTATGACGGTAACATAGTGAACTTGGGCTACTCCAATGGACAGAAAAGCTTGAACCATTTGCGATCCAACTGGTGAACTTCCGAGTGATTTTGTAATAATTAAAACGCCTTTTTCTGGAAAGAGCGAACTGTTGCCATTTCATACTAGTATTTGGTGAAAGAAACAACAATGCTAATCAGATATAGCAGTAGGGTGAAAGGATGTATATGTATTGTTGCTGCTAATTTCTTTTTTAACCGATGATCATTTTTACTTTTTCAGTGGATTCAAATTCCCAAGAGGACAACATTTTCCACAATACATCTCCCTAATCATTATTTACAACTTTTTCAATTAAAGGAAAATGCTGGACAACTTATTCCTATTCCCATCCTAATTAAGAGTACTTCAAATTCCTCATTTGAAACACAATAATTTCTGCAGTTTATAAAATAAGATTATGCCCCCAAGACCAAGTCACCCATGCCATGATCCAGGACCAGTTTCACTCCAAAATGAATTCCTTACTGAAAACTCATTTTCAGGAAACCTGGAAACAATATCACCTACATGAGATTTAAATCAAGATTCTGCAAAGGTGGACTCGGCCATAAAGAGTACAAGTAGGGAAAATAGAACAGGGTTCCAAGACCCTGCAGAAACAGACCCAAGCTCCATCTACAATTAAGAAAATCTTTCTACCATTGATGATTTAGTTTGACCTTCACATATCGAATCAATTATAAACACCCAACCAGATCCTCACAAACGAACACACACTACAGCACTAATCTTACCCCAAGCATCTATCAAAGCAGTATGGTACACAAACATGAAACCCTCCATACCTTAGGCAGATCAGAACATGATTCCATCCTTGCAGAGACAAATTAAAACAACCTTCTGATTGATTAATATCTTAGCAGCACAGTTCAGTTGTCAATTTCAAGCAGCTCGCTTGGCAAGTTTCAAGTAGGCTCTAGATCATTAACGTGCCTTTCTGACTGCAATTTATGTGAAACTGGCTTCAGTGGTCTCTATGAGCTTTCTCTCTATCATTGATATTGTGTTCCATTCCAAACTCAGCCGCCAACATACGAATATCAGGTGATATCTCCCAGTTGGCTTTGTCACCCTGGTTTGTGTGCCTTGGTTGTGTTCCACACCTCTCCAATCCACCAACACTATCAATTTGGTTGTGTATTTCTTCGAAATCTTCAGCAGCAACAGCTTGCCGCTTGCCCATTTCTACATCATAGCTTGTTTTGGGCAGCTCTGGGCTCATGGTTCGAGTTCGACCAGAGGGCATTGAGGGAGCAAAGAGAGCAGATGAATCCAACTTGACCAATTCCCTGAAGTTATTCTTAGACTTGGGAATTTTGGAGAAGAAAATCTCAAAAACATTGCGGACACAACCACGATTGTAAGGATTCATTTTTGAATCATAACGATACCGGAAATTTTCATATGTTGTCTGCAAAAGGCATAAAATTAGCAAGGCAGAGAGAGAGAGGGGAAAATAATGGAAGATGTTGTAGATGTTATCCAAACCTGATTGGTAAAAATCAAATAGAGATGAAACACAGTGAGGCCTCCAACAAACCAAGCAGTCACAAATGTATATAGTATAAGAATCCCTGAAACAGGGGACTTCATAAATGCTCTCCAGAGACTACAGTGATATTCATCCATTAGTTTCTTAATGGTCACCCAGCATAATGCAAACACATAAAGGCATAGTGTGGTTGTGGAGGACACGAACATGAAGAAGAATCTATAATTTCTCTGCCAAGAAACAATTTTTGTTAACCTTGATGAAGAGTACAAAGTTCCCCACAACTAAAGCCAGAACGGCATATAAGAAATTACTTGATGATCACAAATAAGTCATCGTTTCAGTAAAAAGGTTGAGAGAAATAGAGAGGCGTTATTTTACTTGACAATCTTTATAATTGTCTAAGCAAGCTGTGAGACAATGTTTTCAATTGAAGGCATAAAGCTCAATTTTTACAATCACAATAGGATTGTAGATTTTTCCATTTGAAGAATTCCACCCCTTCTCTGTACAAAATAAATAAATGAACTCTTCAACTGCTCCTTAAACCTGAACTGTAGATTTACATTATGGAAGTTCTATAAGCAGCATGTTTGACTAGAAAGCAGAGTTCCAAGTTCCAACTAACCACAGAACGAATATATGTGTGATTTTCTGAATAAAATGGCATTCTACTCCTCACAACATTGAACCCCAAGATAATGAATATAATTGTTTCATTAAATTTTTAAGGATATTTAAGAAAGAGATTTCCGGATACCTAGTAAGGCATCAAATGACTCGCTCGAAATTCTGAAGATGATAAATATATCTTATCAGAAGTTGCAGGCCTAAAATCAATTACTAGTAATAATTAAGTTTACCTATTTGATCATGCATTAAGCCATTAGTTTGATGAATGCAAGTTTTCTTCTTCCTTTTTTTTTTTTTTTTTTTTTGACAAGAGATGAATGCAAGTTTTCAGAGATAAAAGTAAATGGTTTAAGTCTAAGGAAATGAATATCCATTGTAATCATTTTCAAGGTAGTGAAAATGGAATTAACCCAAAATTCAGTCAACTAGAAATCTAAAGAAGAGAAGCATATACCTTGCCAATACATTGCCCCACCCACGGGCAATGGTGATCGAAACGCTCCACACAATTGTTGCATATAGAGCAATGTGAGCAGCGAGGTGAGCGATACAACATACATGTTTGGCAGTATTTAACCTTGACAATCACCCCATTAACCACCACATCTTTTGTAGCTGGTAAATGTGGAACACCACTAACACTGCTCTGACTCGCCGCCCCTGGCCAATCCGTAGACATGGTGGAACCATCCTCTTCAATTTCAGGAGGATGGGAGTTTCGAGGAATAATGCCAGGATCTCTTCCAGATGTGAGGAGCAGAAGAATAAGATCCTGAACTAGTTTGACACCCAAAACAACGTTAACTACTGTACCAATTGGAAAACAAAGAGATTATCTGATTGCATTTCCTTTTTCTCATGGAAGAAAAGAACTCACATATACAGTGAAGATAACGAGGATAGCTACAATGAGGTTGCCAACATGGTTGTTAAATTGATGGATGAGTCTTCGAGAAACGAAAGCGCAAAACAAAATGACTGGGATCACAATCAGAGATATCGTGAGGAAGATTGACCTTATATCTGGACCAAATACAAGTCTACCTCCAAGGCAAAATCTCTGAACCAAAATAAATAAATAAATAAAGTTGGCTATTTGCCATTTGGAAAAAGGTGCAAGAACAAGTAAAACAGAGAAGAAGAAAAACAAGAAATAGAAATGGCAGATAGATGGTAAACATACATTGCTTCCTTTCCAAACTTGATAAACTCGAAGAGTAGTGGCATTGTTGTCTATGATCCGGCGATTGGAATCGGAGAGCTGACTAGGCAACGGAGCTGCGTACATCTCTTTATAAACCCACAATCAGATCTCTTTCCTTTTTTTTTTCTTTTCTTTTCTGTGATTTTCCTCTAAACTGCTATAAAATTTGTCCCTCGGCAACTCTGCAAACCAGAAACATGTTTATCCACATTATTAAATGATTGGGTTCTCTTTCGTTTGGTTACTATAAGAAAGAAAGGAAAAGAAAGGGAAAATTGATTGTTTACCTGGAAAAAAAAAAGAAGGGTGAGAGGAAGAAAGATTCCAGAGTTGCAGAGGGAGCGGTTAAAAGGGATTGGGAGGCTTAAGGAGCTGAAGCGGGGGAGATTAGAATCTCTCTCCAAAAAAGCTCAAAAGCCAGAAAGATGGGAGAAAAAGCCAGCAAAGATTGTTACAGACAGACAGAGAGAGTGGGAGGTTTGCACATTTCGCTCGCGTGGCGATTTTCCGCCAGACGAGTCGGATCGCCGATTTTGACGATATATATATTATTATTATTAGGCATTTTGCTTTCTTTATTTTTTAATTTAAACTTTGTTTTTTTACTTTTATAAGTAATGCGAGACGGTCGACGACGTGGTCTTCGCCGCAGCTCCTCTCTCTTTTTATTTTTTATTTTCTTTTACATGCTTTCCACCACTCTACTCTCTTATTATTATACCTTTTCTTTATTTCTTTATTTGGGGTGTAATTATTGTAATTATTACATGAAATTACTTTGAATATATAAAATTTTTTCTTTTTATTAGTAGTATTTCTTTGTACTCCCATGTTTTTATGCAATAATAATTCGAAATTAAATTAATTATTTAGTCATAGCTACCATATCCAATTGATTCTATTCTAACAACTTTTGAGGCCATACAAAACTTAACGACAAACTTGTTTTCAATGAACATTAATATGGTCCATTGTACACAACAATTACCCACCTCCATTATTTTTTGACATATTATAAGAAACATTATATGAAATTATAAGATAAGAAACAATAATAATAGAAAGTGAAATTACCTAAAAACCAATCCAATGTTAACTTCTCATGACTTGAAGAACAAATAAGGAGGGGTATTTTGGTATTTTCATATTCGGTTTTTTCGTTATTTGGATTGATGATTGAGGGTATTTTGGGAACTTTGTGAACAAGTTACTATTTGTGAGTCCCACTATTCATGAATTAATATTTTTTTGTTGGATTATTTATCTAATGATCCTCATACTTTTATAGTTTATGCTATTTAGTCCTTCACAATTATAGGTTGGACAGTTTAACGCGTTGACTTTTATTTTTGTATTTCTTTTTTCTATTTGTCCAATTAAGGTGATTTAAGTGTCTACTAAAAGGTAATTTCATGATCTACAATTTTCATGAAGAACTCAAAAGCCAATTTTAATTTTTTGATTCTAAAAAATGCTTCCGAAATTTTGTGGTTTTGATTGCCGGTCAATTTAATATCGTATAATTTTTTGTTCACATGTCCGATTGAAGTTATTGAAGTGTCAGGTAAAAGGTTATTGCATGATTTACGACTTTCATGAAGGAGCCGAAAGCTAAATTTGATTTACGAGTTTCATGAAGGGTTCAAAAGGGAATTTTTATGCGTCAAGATCTCTATTAACAAACATTTTCTTATTTGGATTATT